AAATATTAATGTTGTTATTAAATAAATGATGTTATAGTATATGTATAAGTATTACTGAAAGTGATTTTAAGTGAGAAAATAAATTCCACTGCACAAAACAAGGACCCTTGTTTTGTTAGTTTAATTTTTAATAATGTTTTATGATACCTAAAAATATGTGATTTCATTTTAATGAAAGTCGATATGATCTTAACAAGAATTATGGGGAAATAACATGACAATAAAACTAATATATCGCCAATAATTTTATTATATTACATTAACTGAAATATACACTATTAAAAATACCACTAGAGTAAAGAGTTTTTATATTTGTTCATTGTTGTATTCATGGATTATTTCATTAGAAATAGAAATGACTTATCTCCTCAACACATAGGGAACAATTTGTTGGCCGCCATGTCCCAGGAAACTTGCATACCTTTGGATTTTCTAAAAAAACTATACATGCTACGAATTTTTGCAATTGTTAGAAATAATAATGAAAATTAAAAAATTTATCGAAAAATTCAAAAATATATAAGAGTAAATTATTTTTAAAGGGTAGTAGGTAATACTGATTATTGCGTACTGAAATAAGTGTTGGTTAATTATTTAAGATTACCATTAACTCTCGTGCATATATATATATAGTCTATAATATTCCATTTCGGTTCGATATTAACCCTAGCGTTACACGCTTCGACTCAAGGTCACCGGCGCTTAAGCTCTCACGTACAGGGAGTGTCACCGCTGTGCCTCGGGTGACTTCCAATCGGTTCGTTCCTATGTATGAATCGGTCGGTTTTTTCCGCCCGAGTCATACATAGGAACGAAGTTTCGAACACGAAGTGACCCTGTACATTACCCGGCTTACTTCTATAAAGTTAACGTTATGTTGTAATTTAAAAACGTTTTAATTCGATCCAAATTGCTTAAGTTAAAAATGAATTGGTCACAAGAGCAAACACTATTGTTTTTGGAGTTGCTCTTCTTTTTATAGGACAGGGTGACAACCGAGCACACAGTCCACCTGATGGTAAGTGGTTGCTGTGGCCCACAGACATCTACATCTATCCTCGATTACGAATCAAAATGCAGATGCGTTGTCACCCGTGAAGACTGAGATGGAATGCCTGTTTTCCAGTAAAAAGGATCTCCGGTTCCCTCCACTCAACATACGAAACACAGCAGCATTACGCTACTATTTTACGCTGGTATTCTGTGAGAGTGTGGTCCTCCCATGGTCGAGCCGACCCCTTCGTGCTACAAATATACTACTAATATAACTGCAACTCTCTATGCTCCAGGGGGAAACGGTAATATGGGATCTTTTTATTTTTTTGCATCCAAATATACGCACACAGTTAAAATACGCAACAGTGCACAAATCCAACGCAGCTGCCACTTATACGTCCTCGATCTCGCCTAGCTTGTGAGCGACTAGTTCCTCACGAAGTTGAGCGAGTGTTTACAGAGGCTCCTCGTACCTCGGCTGACTTTGGCGAATACTTCGGGCGAGGAACTTCGCGAGTAGTGTGTACTGCAGCTTTAAGTCTTTGATAATTTTTGGTTGAAATAACCTTTGCTGCGTCTGTAACGCTAAACTGCTAACTGTTGGTTTTTTTATAAACTTACTCCTTCAGGCCTTAGACCATTCGACCCAATGGACGAGTAATTCGCCTGATGCTACGAACAAAAAGTCTGATACTTTTTGTGCGGGAGAGGAAACACTACATAGACAGTACTGCACAACTACTCAATAAAATTTTGTGTCATTAGGCACACACAAATCTAAAACTCCAACAATATTACATTTTACGCACACATGTAGGTTAAATACATCAACATAGAAAAAGTTGTGAGTGTAAGACGGATAAATTAATTGCGATGCTACCATATAGATATTTTATATCGATAGTTTCTCTAAGAAAAAGAAAAACTCACAAGCATTAGCAAAATGCATTCGAACTAGGGTTCCGTAGGTAACACAACAAGGAACGCTTACAGTTTCGTCAAGTTCAACAGTCTGTCGGTTTGTCCGCGTCTTAGTACAGAGACTATTGGTACCTATTCTAATGAGCTGTAATTTGGCGTGTTTAAACATGAATACCAGAAATAAAAAGGCTCTAAGTACCAAAAACAAAAAGTGGAGGAACTTATGATTTAAATAACAAGCCATCATCACAAAAAAATTAGTTTTATAATCGTAATATAAATAAAACAAATAGGCCCTAGAAAAGATAGGAATTGAAGAAAGCGAACTTTTAAAGAGACAATTATTGCTTGCGTGCGTGATTAATGATGGAGTAGAACTAGAACGACCTGGTTCCTGAGATTTATAGCTCTCTACAGACTCGACCTCCTGGAAAGGAAAATAATACCCCGTTAAGGAAAGTTTGCACCTACTCCAAACCTATAAAATCCCATGGGTTGCCTCAAAAAGCAATCCCAAACTTTCAAGTACATACATGTATATTACATACGTAGTACATGAATATTACTTAAATCATCTCTTAATAGTAATGTTGGTAATGCATTACATACAAATTTATGACGTTTACTAGGCAAACATTGAAATTGGGATGAATCAAAGTGCATCGAACAGATAGTAGTTATGCGGGTAGGTACCAATCCCTTTTTCGATTGCACAATTGTTCCCACCTCATTTTTAAGAGGGTCTTTTCGAAATATGTAAAAGTAAAAAAATTATGAGAATACATTAGTATATAGCATAAAATATGCAAAATTGTTTCTGTACTAAAGTTTTTCGGAATAAAGCTTATTCATTTTATATATAACAATTGAAAGAAGTTTTGGTATAGACATATCTATAGTTTAATTTTTTTGTTGAATTTATTTAATCTAAGGACAAAAATTGTTCATATACACTTTTATTATAATAATAGGTAATCTTAATGATTTCTTATATTTACGCGAATACTACACATTGAAATAATACTAATTTTTACGGAATTTATCGCGTATATTTAACTTTTTTACCCGACGTTTCGAGAGCTTTACAGCACCCATGGTCACGGGAAGGACTGAGATGTTCAACGTCCAGCTGTCATAGTTAACCGCGGTTACCATAGATTAAAATTTAACTTTTGTTCCGATCTACACAGTATGAACTTATGGTATCATGAAGTCTTGCAGTTGTATGCCTGGGTTGGGACTTAATTTTATTTATTATAGGATCCCAAGCAGATGGCAGCACCCAGCCATCTTCTCTATTGAAATTAGGATGTTTTTTGATTTCAATAGCCTCGCGAATCATCCTTGGAAGGAATCGGTGTTCTTTAGCGAGGATTTGTGGTCTATCAAATCTGATGTAGTGATGGGGGCGATCCTGTACATGTTCAGGAACAGTCCTAATTTCAATAGAGAAGATGGCTGGGTGCTGCCATCTGCTTGGGATCCTATAATAAATAAAATTAAGTCCCAACCCAGGCATACAACTGCAAGACTCCATGATACCATAAGTTCATACTGTGTAGATCGGAACAAAAGTTAAATTTTAATCTATGGTAACCGCGGTTAACTATGACAGCTGGACGTTGAACATCTCAGTCCTTCCCGTGACCATGGGTGCTGTAAAGCTCTCGAAACGTCGGGTAAAAAAGTTAAATATACGCGATAAATTCCGTAAAAATTAGTATTATTTTAATAGGTAATCTTCTTTAGTTGAGTGTTTGATGATAAATTATATTTTAATGCTTCTTCAATGAATAATAATGAAAAATTATCGATATCGATCCGCACATCACAGTCACATCACGCATCAATTTGACACCATTTTCAATTAAAGACTTAACTCTACAGTGGTCGCGTGGATCAGGGTTGCCAACCGTACGAGGTTCCTCGTACAAATACGAGATTTGTGGTCTTCCGTACGAGGTACGAGGACACTATCAACCTCGTACAATTATGTACGAGATCTTGATAATATGGCTCTAACATTTTGCACCACTATTATAAAATAGTAAAAACTAGTACCATCTATCAGAACTTGAAGGAACTTCTTACACCAAAAATTTAATTGCCGCATTTACGCGATGATTGTCTATGGTAGCCTAAATCAGACTTGGCTGTATCGGCTCAGCTCCCTTTGCCTGTCCCAAATAGGGACGAAAGGAATAAAAAAAATTATGTAGCTCATAGACTTTGTATGTACCCGTCAACCGGGTAACGGAAATCCCCGACCAAAACATTTCGTTCTTCGCATTAGTCGTCTATGTCACACATAGCGCAACTTTCTCTGTTTTTTACGTGTTCCATTCGTTGCATGCCGGCCGTGTTTAGTTGTGCTACAATATTACGTGGAGCTAATTGAAGTTTTTGTAAAAAAGAAGATTTTATTGTTAAATACCTAGTCTTTACGTTGTTTGGACCATTGTTTAGTGGTATAATAGAAGTATCGTAATGAGTGATAATGACGTAAACAGTGACCGTTCGCCTACTTTGACTCCGCCTAGAAAATTACCCAAAAAAAGGTGCTTGGACAAGAAAAAAGGAAGGTAACGCATTATCGCAACATCGTGTACAAAATTTTAGACAGCAATGGTTAAACGACCCGACTTTTAAAGACTGGCTTTTGCCAGACACCAATGATTTAACAAAAGCTAAATGTGTATATTGCCCGGGAACATCAATGGTAGCTGAACTATCCAATTTAAAAACTCATGCCTCTACCAAGAAACACCTAGGCAACAAACCCGGATCCAGTGGAAAAACACAAACATTAACATCGCTTGGATTCCAAAGAGGTATAACTCCACAAAATAGAGAAAAAGCTCGTGCAGAAATTAAACTTTCTGCTTTTTTTTGCGGAGCACAATATTGCATTCTCGGTTGCTGACCATTTGACAGATTTATTAAAAGAAGTTGTGACGGATTCTAAATTAATCAAGGAAATTGAACTTAAACGAACCAAAATTACAGGTGTGATAAAGAACGTTCTCGGAGAAGGTCATAAGGCAGATTTAGCCCAAAAACTACAAAAAAATCAGTTTTCGGTGATGACGGACGAGACGACCGATGTTTCTACGGTCAAAACTGCTTGCGTTGTGGTACGCTATTTTGATCAAGAAGCTCAAAAGATATGTAGCGCATTTTGGGAGCTGTACAAAGTTTTTAAGGAAACACCTGATGCTGTTGATATTCCTACTGCCAATGCCGAGAATTTATACAGAGCTCTTATTGATTCATTTACTAACCGTAATGTTCCATTAACAAATGTGATCGGCTTTGGCTCAGATGGGTGTAATGTCATGATGGGTGATAACGACTCAGTGAAAACAAGGTTATTACGCGATTTTCCAGGAATCATAATCACGAAGTGCGTTTGTCATTCGGCCCATTTGTGTGCCAGTGAAGCCTGTAAACAGCTGCCTGAAGGTGTAGAACAACTGGCTAGAGATATCTACAACTTTTTTTAAACATAGTGATAAACGGCTATTTGATTTTCGTAACTTCCAGTCGTTTGCTGCAGTGGAGCCTCACAAAATACTGAAAGCATCACAGACAAGATGGCTTTCCTTATTATCAGTGGTTGAAAGGATATTAGAGCAATGGGAAGCCCTACGTCTTTTTTTTATCGATTTTACGACAAATCGTGCACATAGAGCAAGAGCCGATGTAAGAAATCGAGCAGTATTTATTCTCGAAAAACTCAGCAACCCATTCTACAAACTTTATTTCTGTTTCCTTGAATGGTCGCTCCCTTTATTCAATAAGTTCAATCTGGAATTTCAAAGCGAGTAAGTAGTTGTTCACAATCTACATGAGAAAATTCGTACACTCTACCAGGAAATCCTATTGCGTTATTTACAACGCGAATATGTTATGAGGCCAAATCTTGGTGAAATAAACCCTGAAAGTCAGCGACATCAGCTCCATGACAATGCACTGTATCTTGGTGTCAAAGTGTATGAGCTCTTGAAACATCCAGATGTGATCAGACAGCCCACAGATATCGCTCAGTTCTTCTCATGCTGCAAAAATTTCTACAAAGTTGCAGCCATCGAAATTAAAAAACGATATAACATGGAAGATCCTGTCTTGTCAAAGCTACAAGTTTTTGAGCCTGCATCTGCACTCTCCTACAATTTTAGGAGCAATTTCCCTACACTTATGCCTCTTATGGAAGTGGTCCCCCGAATAATCGCAACAGCTGATCATGCAAAGAAACAAATAATCGACAATCAATGGAGGAGTTTGCCAAATGCACAAGCTCGTCATCCTAAAGGGTTGAATGAAATTAGTGAGCCAGATAAGTTTTGGGCTCAATTACTGACAACTGAAGACTTTTCCGAGCTAGCTCATTTTGCCCTATCTACACTGTCCCTACCCCATGCGAATGCTGACTGCGAGCGGGTTTTTAGTAAAATCAATTTAATAAAGACAGAAATACGAAACTGGCTAACTGTGAAAACAGTGAACGGCACACTTCTTGCTGCAGAGAGCGCAAAGGGTTCAACTCGTACTGGAAACTGCGTCAATTTTGAGCCCACAAAAGAAATGTATAGTCGCATGACAAAAGATAAAATATACGGCAGAAAAAACGATGACAGTGAGGATGTTCCTGACATAATATTTGGAGAGGAGATGTAAACTAAGTTACCTTTACCTTTTTGTTACATTTTAATTGTCGTAATAATATAGCCACATTTAGTTTTTTTTTTTTGTGATTTTACTTGAGTAATAATAAAGGTTTTTTTTAAATACTTATAAACTTGCAATAGTTTATTTCATTGAGAAAAAGTCCTAAATCCAGTAGTTCAATATACATTAATTTTGGTTTAGCACGTTTTCGATGCATAGTAAATGTACGAGGTTTGAAAGTCAAAATACGAGATTTTTAGCTGCCTAAGTACGAGGAAATATTTTTTACTGTTGGCAACCCTGGCGTGGATTACAATATTAAGAGCTCCCGCGTTGGTCAACTATTGAACAACTAAATTGCGTACTTTTATAATTAAATTGACCAACTTTTTTTTATCGGTTGTTAGCCGCAGACTTAATCGATTTAGTCCGTGACAGCGTGCTGCCATCGTGGTGCGTGTGCGTGTTAATGCGGGAGAAAACGATTTAGTACTTTAATAATAAAAAGAAGACGAAAACAAAAGAGAACAGTTTTGGGTGCATCCTATATTAAGTGACAGATTAGAATATGGGAAACATCATACCGTTGCCTTCTAAACTCAGATGTTACCCAGAAAATTTTTTTTCATTCTACAGAATGAGAATTTCGTCTTTTGATGAGCTCGTATATCTAATCGGGCCAGCGATAGTCAAACGGGATACTACTTTCCGACTCGCCATCACCGTTTAAGAGAGGCTTGAATTAACTCTCCATTAAGTACCTGCTAGGTTAATAAACATATAACTCATTTTTTTATTGATGTTCTATACCTTTAATCAAATTTAAGACAGTTTAGTGTAAAAATCTGTTCGACTCTGAGAAGTTTGACCAGTATGAAATAATACCATCATGATCATGTGGAGGGGGCGATGTTTGACTTTCTGGAGATAGACTTGAAAGTTGCTGATTAGATGGTATAGTATACTGTGGCCCTGTGATAGACTGATGATGGATGTGCTAACATGGTGACATCAGACAGCGAGGATTTATAATCTTCGAATGCCTTCAGCATCTCGGGGCTCATTACTACCGGTTTGGATCCTTTAATATTTTTGCCACATAATGCATCAAGAAGTGGAGCTTGTGTGCTTGCTGCATCCTTCAAACATCTACGGTAATAGTTCAGCATACCGAGGAACCTTCGGCGTTCTCTAGCTGTTTTTGGTGAAGGGAAGTCTTTAATCGCTGTCACTTTCGTCTCCATTGGACGAGTTCCCTGCGCTGAAATGTGGTAACCCAAAAAGTCTTGACACTTAATATACTTTTAGAAGTATTTATGAGTACTCCGTACTTTTGAAGTCGTCGAAAAAGTGTCTTAAGGTGTTCCATATGCTCTTCTTCGGTATGTGAAAATATCAATATTTCGTCAAGATATCCAAATGTGAAATCTAGTCCTTGGAGTACCTCATCTATGAATCTTTGAAACGTCTGGGCTGCATTCCGGAGGCCAACATCATGAATGGGAACTCGAACAACCCAAACGGAGTCGTGATCGCTGTCTTTTCAATATCACTCTCAACTACAGGAATCTGGTTGTAATCTTTCACTAGATCTAATTTGCTGTATATATTACAACCAGCAAGCTGATGAGCAAAGTCTTGTATGTTTCTGAGTGGGTAGCGATCCGGGATGGTCCGTGCGTTTAAAGCTCGATAATCACCACAAGGCCTCCAGCCATCGTCTTTTTTGCGTACTAGGTGTAGTGCTGAAGACCAAGAGCTTTCCGAGCGTCGTGCTGTGCCGTTCTTCAACATTTCCTCAAATACTTTTTTAGCTATGAGGAGTCTATCAGGAGCTAAACGACGAGGTGGTGGGGCTACTGGGGGTCCTGGAGTAACGCGAATGTGATGCTTGGTATTATGTTTGGGTTCTGACGTCGTACCAGCCGGTTTCGTTATGGTAGGGTATTGGCGAAGTAATTCATGATACTTTGAACTACCATTAACAGTTTTGATGGCTTCTATCTGGTCGTTTTTGTGGTGAGGCACTGTTATTGATAGACCTGTGAGGCCGTCGATAAGTCTATGATGACGGCAGTCGACTAATAAATCGTAATGACTTAGAAAGTCAACTCCGATTATGGGTTTGGAGACATCTGCCACGATAAATTTCCAAACAAAGTCCCGACGAAGTCCAAAGTCCAAGTGAAGTTGAAGGTAGCCGTAAGTGGAAATGACGCTACCGTTTGCTGCGAAAGGTTGGTATTTGCACTTTTTTACTGGACCCTTCATCATGGTCCGTGAAGAAACACTTAAGTCAGAACCTGTGTCGATGAGGTAATTAATTTTACTTTTTCTATCTGTGGTGAATAGACGGCCGTTACAAGTCTGGCAGTCATTCGTCGCCACTAATGGCTGCCCTGGTCTTTTCCCGACTTAAAATTACAGGGTGTTGTGCATTTCGTTGAATTAACACCGAACATTCTGTGGTACCATAATATACCGTTGTCTGAGCTCGACCGAGATCGTGAACGGAACCTAAATTGCCTGTTGCGTGACGGGGATCTGGTTCGCCTATTCATCTATGTTGCTAATGCAGAAACTTGTTTTGTCAGCTCCGCGATTTGAATGGCCATTGCTTCCATAGCAGCGTACGGTGTAGGAATTTGTTGCGGTGGACAGGAAGATGTCGACGAAGAAACCTCGTTTAAGTGTCCTCGAGGCAATATGTCATTTATTTCGTCAGCTAATTCAGACAATTTATCTAAAGGCATCTCTGCATTTGTTGCGACAATGGCCTGCATACTTTGAGGTACTCTACTCGACCAAATTGTGCTTATAAAATTTTCTGGAACACTAGGATCTGCTAGATGTATAAGATGACGCAAAAATTGTGACGGTTTGCGACTTCCAAGCTCTTCATGCATTAAGAGCTGTTTTACCTTCTGTTCTTGGGAGGCGGAAAGTCGACGAATCAATTCAGACGTAAATAGTTTCATATTTGTTTTCTCTAGGCGGATTGATAATGACATCCTCGACTTCAGCTGCGTGTTCGTGATCGAGCTGGGATACAATATAATAAAATTTTGTGGTGTGACTTTTTATATTTGATAAAATAAATTGTCTCTCTATTTGAGCGAACCACAGTGCTGGTCTGTCAGGCCAAAACAGGGGTGGTCGACAACACCTACTCTAAATGTATTTCATTTCATTTCTCCACTCGTGGTGTCATCTAAATTTTCACTTTCGACCTTCTGCATCAGAGGCGTCGTTAAATTTTTATTCGCCATGATTTGGGTAGGGCTTATTTTTGTTCAATGTCGGAAGGTCACCAGTATAACGTGGCTTTGTTGTACTTACAGGTATATTAGCCTGACGACGTATATTAGACTCCAATAAAACAGACACTCTAATAGTTTATTCCTGCACACAAGTTTATTTATTTACTTACACAACACTTTCAATTCAATGTTACTTAGTATTACTATTATATTATATACTATTATTATTTTGTAATTACTATATTTCGCGGATAAATTAGGGCGAGCGTGGCGCGAGCTCCCGCAGTGAATACATATCATTACTAACTAACTTGACCGGTAAAGCAGGCACCAGTACTTCGATACAAAATATTGCTAACAATAAATTGGACGATTGATGCGGAAAAGTTAGTAAGTAGGATTTCTTAAGTGATTAATTTTACATTTAGTTTACAGTACAAAAATTATTTATTATAATTTATAATTTTGATTTTATATGTGTGATTTTATAGATAAAAATTAATTTACTTATACTATATTAACATTAAAATTTATTTAATACACATCATCTATGCCATACTTATTATTAAAAAATTAAGGCGATAAAATCCGTAAAAGTAGTTTTAATCAATGTGTAGTGTTCACGTAAATATGTATGAGAAATCATTTTCCATTATTAATTCTCTCTGGTTTAAAATTGAAGGTTTTCCTGTATCTTTTACTATTTTTTATTTGATTTTTTATTAGGTAGGTGCTTTTTTTTAAAAGAAGTCAAACTTTTTCAAACTGGTAGTGTCATGAAATGCCTAGGCAAGTTACGCCCTACTGCCCAACTTTAACGGTCGGACTAAGACATAGAATACTATAGTTCGGCCATTCAGAGAATGCGTTCCTGACACGTCGCGATTGAACTGACGACGTAACTTTGTAATGGCGTTGCAGTTACGATAAAAATATTTTTGCTGGTTGTTTACCGTTTTAACAATTGATGAGCATTAAAACAACATTGTTATATTAATAATCAATTAATGTTATAATTTTGTGCCAAACTGAGTGTCAAATAACTTGATAAACAATATTTTTCTAAATCTATACTGCGCTATTACAAGGTTATGTCAGCGCTTTATATTTGTAGTGCTGTGCTAACAATAACAGGCAATAACAGTATCGTAATCTGTTCTTATACAGTTATACTTTATAAAATAATACGTTTTGTTTTTCTTTTTAAGAATTTGAAAATAATGGACTGTAAGATAACTTTTATTAAATATAAAAATAAAACTACGACCAAACCGAACGCGCGAAAGAAAGTAGCATTTTTATATTTAGATTAAAAATGGTAACCCCAAATGGCGTTATGGGCCGCCATTTTATGACGCTAAAACAGTCGTCTGTTGTCGTTTCGTGCGCATAGACCACGTTCTTCAAGTGTTTTCGATCTGTTTTTTTTTTGATTACCCGGCTTTCGTTTAATGGACTGTTTCTGCTTTTCAAACTGACATCGGCGCTAAATCGGAATTCGATTGTGTTTTGTATTGCGTTCTTTTTACTTTTGGTGCATAATAATGCCTAAACGTGGACAAACATTGAAAAGTGGAGCCCGTTAATAATCAAGCTGCAAGATTACTTTGAGCGGGAGCGGCAAAATGGCGGACCCCTGTTACTTGTCGGACAAGTACAAGAACGCGTCTCTCAGGCGCTTGGAGTTAGCAAACGAACGATAACAAATATTAATAAAGAAAAGTTCGGCTCTACTGGCACGGAAGATAA